GAAATCTCTTAGTCTAATAGTTGATTAGTTGTTGATTGCTTTTATACCAAATATGAGATTCGGTTGTTAAAATGATCTTATTAGACTAATCAATTATTGATTTTAGTTAGTGTATGTAAACTTTGACTACATAGTGTATATATTATATTTGTGATATATTTTCTCATGATCATATCTGTGCTATAGATATTTAAAGAGAAAATTGTATTATTTGATGAGTGACATTATTATCTACACCATGTTTAAACATGTATTATTGCAGTGAAAATTTCGGAGCTAGTCTAACAATTCTTCTCCCCCTAACAATTAACAATTCTTTTTTAAAAATTGATTGGTTGCTTTAATATCAAATATGGGAATCGGTTGTTAGAAAGTGCAAATGATCTTATTAGACTAATCGATTATTGATTTTAGTTAGTAATTCCGTACATTGCAAATAATTAAAATTCAACTAGTCCATTATAGATGGCAGATTCTTATAATAGGATAAGATCAATGATTCGACAGATGAACAAAACATATTTGTTTTGCTCGAGTATTGATGAATGACGTCAGGAGATAAGCAATACTCGTGCGTGGCTATGTCAAAATTGGACAGCTTCGTGACTTATGTGGCCGAAAATGAAGTCAGGTAATTAGCACATCTTTATCTGTTTATGTGGGGTATGATTTTAAAATTAAAATTTTGTYGGGAACGACTCTTTTATAGTTTTTTTTAACACATAATTCAAATATATTTATGTGTTGAATGTTATAGGGTTAAGCTTCTTTTTTATTTCACTGAATCTAGAAGGAAATGGAAAAGAACATGATACCACTTTTGATACAAGCTGTTCTTAGCCAAGAAAAGGAAATTCTCAGTCAAAAGAAAAAGAAAAAAAGACATCAGTCCTAAAACGTAAAATAGCAAGTTTAATAACATGTTTGACCAAAAAAAAGCAAATTTAATAACATTTTAATTTGGCTAGCTTGCGTTATTCAACATTTGACATTTAACATTTCACAACATTTACACTTTATTAGACAACTGTGCAATAAAAAGTAAAGAGTTTTGTGGTAATTGTATAATATGTTTAATATTATTGTTGTGCAAACATTCATTTGGAGCAGTGCCAATATATTGTAGTTTATTTATATAAACTCTTTTTGCGTGCTTATAAGGAACTTAATATAAGTTATTCTGAAAAAGAAAAAAAAATCAGTAAATAGTTTTACATATGGAAATAATTTAGTTTATCTTGAAAATAATATTCCAAACTAGATCCATACTCGGCTGATCACGTAGTGCTATATAATGGAAAATATAATTTGATTGTGTAGGTATTTTCTTTATGAAAAATCAAAGACTTTAATTGAATAGTAGTAATATATTTTCCTTGTTGTATGTAGAGGGAACTGTTCTGACGCATGAAGTAGTGCTTACTTGTGGAAGGCCATTGGGACTTAGCTTTGAGAAGAAAACAGGAGATTTGTACATTTGTGATGGTTACTTAGGTGTCATGAAGGTTGGACCAGAAGGAGGCTTGGCCGAGTTGGTCGTGGACCAGGCCGAAGGTCGGAAGGTTATGTTTGCAAACCATGGATATCGACGAAGAAGAAGATATGTCTTCTACTTCAATGACAGTAGTGACAAGTACCACTTCAGGTATATTTGGCCAAACATAAAATGGAGAGAAAATTGTAACGTTTTACACAAAAGTAGATATTTGGTTATTTTTCATATGT